CCTTGAGATATTTCCCTGTTAACTACAAAGGTTGTTTTTCTACTTGGAATGCGACCTTTAACCATGCAACATGTGATTGATGCGCTGTTTAGAAAACACATTTAGTTAAGAACACTGCTTATTCTTTCTGTCTAAAACATATGTTCAGGCATGAGAGTATGCCTTTTCAGTAAAGTGCTTGCTATAGAAGCATGAGGATTGGGTTCAGATCCTCAGCACCCATGTAAAAGCTGGGCACAGTGCATGTCTGTGACTCCTGAGACAGTGAAGACAAGCAGATTCCTGGAGCTTGCTGGTTCTCTAGTCTAGCAGAATCAGTTCTGGGTTTCTTGACAGACCATGTTTCAAAAAATAAGGTGGATGAATTGGGTGTGGTGGTGTATGCCTTTAATCCCAGCACTAGCAAGGAGAGGGAGATGGATCACTGTAAGATTGAGTCCAGCCTGGTCTATATAGCAAGTTAAGCCAGCTGGGGCTACATAGTGAGACCCTGTCTCAAAATAATTAATAATAATAATAATAATAATGTGGAAAGATAGAAGAGGACACACTGCACAGACCTCTGGCCTCCACATGCACGTGCATACATGTGGACATATTCATGTACATAATACTGAGAGAGAGCAAGAGAATGGTCACCTTAGAGAAATTAGTTGATTCAACTAAGTTATAAATGACACCTGCAGTGATCATTAACTCACTGTTCAGTAACATCTGTTCTCCTGTTCACTAACCAACCGTTTCCATATGAAGTGAGTTCCCTTCTCAGAAACTTCATCCCCACCCACATGCTTGAAATAAAAGATGCCAAGTCAGATGCAAACTTAGCACAAACCTGTTTCCCCGTTAGCATTGTTCACCGTAGCCTCACTGACTCGTGTTGCAGTAAACACTGTATGACGCCATGCTTAATTTTCATGCTCACTCTACAGGAAGACATTGCTGTTATCCCTGTTTCAGAGAAAAGGAAGCTAAGGCCCAGAGGTTAAACAGCACCCAGATCATGCAGATGACACATCTTATAACCCTTAGGTTATTGAAAAACTCAAGTTCAAAGCCTTGGCTTTGTGACTAGGAACATTTCTAGACTCTTGTCTATTTTAAATATTTAAAAAATATTTCATTTATCATTTTTATTTTATGTGTATGAGTGTATTGCCTGCATGTATGTAAGTGTACCTGTGTCATGCAATGCTGGTGGAGGTCAGAAGAGGGTGTCGGATCCCCTGGAGCTGGAGCTATGGATGGTTGTTAGCTGCCATGTGGGTGCTGGGAATCTAATCCAGGTCCTCTGCAAGGGCAGCCAGTGCTCTTAACTGCTCAGCCACCTCCCCAGCCCCCAACTCTTGTGTTTCAAGGTTTGCTTTGCTTCATAATTTCCATATCAGAGTTGTTAAACATGTGCCATTTATCAGATGGATTTTGCCCAGGATTATTAGAGCCAAGGGTCAAAGCATCTTTCTAGGAAGTTCTGGCACCTAGGTGAAGATTTAGAAGGGAGAAGAGCTTCCTTGGAGCAAGATAGAGAGTAGAAAGCGGAAAGGAGCATGGTGTGGCTCTAACCCTGGCACAATAGTTCTGGGATTTGCAATCTTCTGCTGGCATTGTTCTAAATGCATGACTGGGCAATTCTAATTCAGTGTTCCTGGGTGGGCCCTGAAAGCCTGTGTTTTTAAGTCTCAGGAAACTACTGGACTGGGGACCACACTGAGAACTGTTAGTCCGAGATACCGGAGGAGGTTGAGAGACTTCAGATACAAGGTGCCCACATTACCCTCTCTACCTTGCCTTACCCTCTAAAATTCCTTTGCATTAATTGCATGTACCATATGACAGAACATTTTAATAAGAAGATCTTACTGATTCTTAAGCACCAGATTCATCAGACACATTGCAAAGTTCTTAGATGCATGGAATACAATACTCTGTGCATTTAACAGTGATTACTGATTGACTGCTAAGAGAGATGATTAGGGTCTTGTTACTGATCTGCTAAATCTCAGTCTAAGGCTTCATATATGTTTCAAATGCCTGAGAATCGGGTTTTCATGCAGGGTCACCTGGGTGTACACCGGGATGGCTCATCCAGCACGTCACGTAAGCTGTGGGTGATCCTGAATTCCCCACAGTCGCCCTAATCCTCACATCCAGTGCATCAGTAGTCTAATTGGATCTACTCTAGAATAGGTTTCAAACCATCCTCTTGGACCAACTGTCGCCTTCCCACAGAGGACTTTTTGGGGAAACGTGGCAGAAGTCTCCCTGTCTAACAGTCTTTAATGTCTCTGTGCATTTTTCTCATAGTATTTAGCACAACCAATAGTCATGTCATTGAGTTACTTATTTATTCTGTCTCTGTCGCTAGCAGGTGAGCTGAACTGCAGCAAGGCGACTCTGGGTCTCTTACAGATCCCTGGTATCTACTGGAATATGACCTGGCACATCATTGGCTCTCAAAATATGCATTGGGGGCTGACAAGATGACTCAGCAAGTAAAGGTGCTTGCCACCAAGCCTGATGACCTGAATTCAATCCCTGGAACCCATATAGTGGGAGGAGAGAAGTGATTCCTGCAAGTTGCCCTGTGATTTTACACATACACACACACACACACACACACACACACGCACGCACACCCCCCAAAATAATAATAATAATATAGGAATGAACACATGAGGGAATGACTGTCTCTGTGAGCTTCAGTTTCCTCATCTGTAATATGGAAGCAATAATAGTATTTATCTCTTCAGATCACTGGGAAAGGACAAGAGGTAGAACACAGTTGTCCCTTGGCGCATGACAGAGCCTTTGTTCCCAGGACACCTGTGGCCGCCAGAGTCTGCAGTCCCTTCTATAAAGTGCTGTAGTATTTGCATGGCCCCTACGCCCATACTCCAGTGTGCTTTAAACCAACTGTGGGTTACCTGTGGTACTAAATTCAGGACAAGACTATGTAAATAGCTTCCATATTATAAACACTTTTGAGAGCACAGCTCCACAACCGAGGACCTTCCACAGGGCCTTGCTGCTTCTTTTTTTTAAAAAAAATTTTAACTGAATTTATTCATTTTTATTTTATGTGTATGAGTGTATTGCTTGCATGTATGAGTGCACCCATCATGCAGTGCCCTCAGAGGTCAGAAGAAGGTGTCGGATTCCCCTGGAACTGGAGTTATGAATGGTTGCTAGCCGCCATGTGGGTGCTGGGAACCAAACCCAGGTCCTCTGCAAGAGCAGCCAGTGTTCTTAACCACTGAAGCATCTCTCCAGCCCCTACCAATTTCCTTTTGATGAAGGTACACAAGACTATATTATTATAATGCAGTAAGAGACAGAAGTACACAGGGAGATCTTAAGAGTGGATGACCTGAGGCACTAGTCCCCAAATAGCAAACTAATGGAGACAATGTAGCCAGATGTAGAAGTACACACACTGAGAGAAGTTGTAGGTGGAAAGGAGCAAGGAATTCCAGTCTCAACCCAAGGGAGGGGAGCCCATGCCTTACTATGATGAAGATGAAGGTGAAGAAAATCTGATTATAACTGGGCAGAAACAGCAAAAGATATTGCTGGCATTGCACTTTGGTCACCCCCTTGACCTGGTATTCTCCATCAGAGGAATCACACAATGCATAATGAACAAGATACAGAAGAGCCAGGCGTGGCGGTACACGGCTTTAATCCAAGCACTTGGGAGGCAGAGGCAGGCGGATATCTATGAGTTCAAGGCCAGCCTAGTCTACATAGAGAGTTCCAGGACAGCTGGGGCTAGGCCAGTGCCCCCACTCCCCCTTCCCAACTCTTCTCTCCTTAAAGATCCTAAATGATTTTGACTAAACTGGACTGACAAGACATTATTCATCTTTCTCTCTTTCTTTTTTTTTATGTGCATGAGTGTATTGTCTGCATGCATGTAAGTGTACCCATGTCAGACAATGCCCATGGAGGTCAGAAGAGGGTGTTGGATGCCCTGGAACTGGAGTTACAGACAGTTGTTAGCTGCCATGTGGGTGCTGGGACTCAAACCTGAGTCCTCTGCAAGAGCAACCAGTGCTCTTAACCACTGAGCCATCTCTCCAGCCCTAAATCATCTTTCTCTTTATCTCTGTACAATACTGTGTAGGGTAAAGAATGGGGCAGAAACTTTCCACTTTAGGGTCCCCTTTGAGTTAATAACAGCCATGAAAGGATGCTTGCTGTTTGAAGGAAAGAGAGAAGGTTTGCTCTATGCAGACCACCAGCTCCTGACAGCACAGAGACTCCCAGCCACATCACCCTAAGCATTGATTATCCCTATGGTACAAGCCTATCTCTTAACCACAACTGAAGAAAAACAAGCTAGCTAAGCATGGGGGTGCACTTGTAATCTTAGCATTTGGGAAGCAGATTCAGGAAGACCATGAGTTCAAGGCCAGCCTGGGCTACATAAGGAGAGCCTGTCCAAATAAGTCATGTATATACATAAATATATATATGCACACATACACATATATGCACATACATATGTTACTGTTGAGTCCTTGATGTCCCCTGATATTATTTATTAAGTATCATAGATAGGGCTCATCGGGCCAAAGTCACCAGAGCTCGACATATATGCACATACATATATTACTGTTGAGTCCTTGATGTCCCCTGATATTTATTAAGTATCATAGATAGGGCTCATCGGGCCAAAGTCACCAGAGCTCTGAGCTTAAACCCTAAAGGTTGAGTCATAGGACTCATAGGACTCATAGGACTGTGTCATAGGACTAATGCCAAACCACACAATTTTATACTAGTTCATGACATGAAAAAAAATATAGTGGAGGAATTCCCCCAGTAAGTTCACACCCTTGCTTTGAAGACGCCAGTGGGGCTTGCCTGCTGAGTCAGTGCTGATGCCTGCACAGGGACACCTCCATCTAATCCCATTCTTGTGTGGACAGTGAATAATATATGTAGAACACTCCCCAGAGTCTGAGACAGATGATCTCTTCCCCCAACTATCTCCTCACCTGGAAAGAGAACACGGCTGACCATACCAGGGAATACCATGATGAAGAGAGGAAGCACCTTCAGGTACGCGGCCATCAAGGAGCCTCCTTTTGCATGGGACAGGTTCTTGGCAGCCAGACTCCGCTGAACAATGACCTAGAGACACAGGGAAGGCAGATGGAAGCTAGGTGGTTTTCTCACTAGCTATGGAAGTTTTGTTTAAAATGCGCTTTTGTGTTAAAAATGGTTATTTTCCTTACTAACTAGCATCCTCACTAAATCAGCACCCTTAATGGGAAGTGCATCCAGGGGTGAGATTTATCCCCAAGTCTATACCATACCCCTAAGGTTTTGTTAGGTTTCACAGTACAAATGTGCACAAAGTTGGGACCAGAGAGGTGTGTCTTTGAGATCTGCTCCTCTATGGAAGTTGCAGGACTGAACAGACAACTGCTGGGGTGTCAGACTGTCAAGATCAGTGTGAAATATGTGATGCTTGTTAGTGGTCTGACTGCAGAAACAGCAACAGAAATTGAGCCAGGGGGCAAGTGTCAGGACCTGAGCCATGCCACTCAGCCAGTCAGCCAAAGGAGCCCTGGTCAGGACCCATTCACCATCATTCTGTGACTTTCAATCAGACTCTAAAAGTGATAGTAGCTGGGTGGTTCTTTTTTATTTTATTTTTCTTATTTATGTGTATGTGCACTTCCTGAGGCATCTGTGGAGGTCAGAGGACACCTTGAAGGAAGTCGGTTCTCTCCTTTCACCATGTGCATCCCTAGGATTGAACTCAGGTGTTCAGGTTTGGCAGCAAGCACCTTTACTTGCTGAGCCATCTTGCTGGTCCTGTAGTTGAGTGGTTCTTGATAGATACAACTCAGTTGAAAACATGTGAACTAAGGGAAGTAATGGCATAATCTAAATACATAAGGAAGAGGTAGCCCGAGGGGGCTATGCTGTCAGCTACCAGGGCATTTCCCCATTTTGTCTTCATTTGTATGTCCCATAAGAATCACCTGTAAAATTTAAAAGTTAAAAAGGGGCTGGAGAGATGGCTCAGCAGTTAAGAGCACTGGCTGCTCTTTCAAAGGACCCAAGTTCAGTTCCCAGCACCCACATGGTGGCTCACAACCAGCTGTAACTCCAATTCCAGGGAATCCAACACCCTTGTCTGGCCTCTGAGGGCACCAGGCATGTATATGATGCACTTACATACATGCAGGTAAAACACTCATACACACAAAATAAAGATAAATCTTTCAGCATCTTACAGATGTTCATTTGTTGTCTCTGTCCACTCCCCACCCCACCCCCCGGTAAGTGCCATGTTGGTTCCAGGTCCCTAAGTGCCCAGGGAGTGCCTGGGCTATTTGTTACACAAATGGTGCGCATTGTAAGTCTTAACCTCCTGTGAAATGAAATTTATTATCTCTTTTGCTTAAGATTGACTATTCCCAGACATCAGGCAAGGTGTGGTAAGTTTCCCCCTTTGTAAAGATCGGCAGGTTCAGATATTAGCATGTGTGACAGCAAAGAGTAACACAGCCTGGTTGGCAGAAGGAATGAAAGCGTCAAGGAGCCAGGGACAAGATAGAGACTATGATGTGAAGGACCAGTGACACCACCGACATCAGCCACTCCAAGCAGAGAGGCTTGGGGGCACCACTCAGCCAGCTGGCCTGTACCTGATCTGTGCACCAGTACCAGAGAGATGGGACGGACATTCCAAACAGGATCCCAGGCCAGGGGAGATCAGACGTCACTGGATCTCGGAAGAGATGGAAGGCATCTTCTCTGGGCAGCCCACAGCTGTTGTTTTCACTCCGGTTGCTAGCCAGGGCTAAGAAGTACTGCTCCTTCAGACCTTCCATCCCCCCTACAGCTGCAAAACCTAGAATGCAGAGCAAGCCCAAGGTTGCCGGGAGGCTCATGAAAGTCCGCAGAGGATGGTGAGGTGGAGACATCCTAGTCAGAGCAAAGCTACCAAGGAACAGTCATAGCCCCTTAGGGGTTCTTAACCTCTGTCCTTTCTTTTTTCTTAGGCCTTTGGTAGTTACTGCAGATTGCTTCTCAGAATAATATTTCTATTACATTTATTTATTTATTTATTTATTTATTTATTTATTTTGTGTTTATGCATGTGCACATGCCACAGTGCACATGTGGAAATTAGAGGAAAACTTTCAGGAGCTGGTTCTCTCCTTCCACTGTGTGGGTCCTAGGGATCAAACTCAGGTTGTCAGATTTGGTGGTAAATGCCTCTACACACTGAGCCACCTCACCAGCCCAGAATAATATTTCTAAATGCATAGCACAAACCACAGAGGATTATAAAAATAATGGACGGCAATCAGTAAAAAATATATAAATGCACCACAGCAATTCATTTGCTTCATTAAACAGTAGTTCCAATTATGGTTTAGTTATGCAGCTGTGACCTAAAAAAAAATTCAAATACATCAGCAATGGACTGGGGAAATGGCTCAGTGGGTAAAGTGCTTCTAAAGCACAGGGACCTCAGTTTGGATTCCCAGCACCCACATAAATGCCAGGCATGGTGGTGAGCACCAGTAACCCCAGCATGGAGGTGGGGAACAAAGATAGATAAATGCATCCCTAGGGCTAGCTGACCAGCTAATCTAGCCAATTGGTGAGCTTCAGGTTCAATGAGAGATCCTATCTCAAAAACAAAGGTGCAGAGAGATTGAGAAAACATACCCAATGTGGGCAAGCACACCTATAGATATGTGTGCATATATACACATACACCCCCCCCACACACACACACTATCAGCAACAACTGTAATGTGATTTTTTTAAAAAACAACCTTGGGACAGCTTTTTATATCAAAGTCATAGGTCCTGCTAAAGTTGCTGTAATTTGTGTCCCACATTTGTAATTGGGAATAAATAGATGCATGAAAATAGAAATATGTTTCTTTCCCATCCAAATTCACAGGTATCCTGATTTAGATCTATGCACCCCAAGTTAGGAAACCCTATCTTAAGAAAGCATTCTTTGCCTCAGAACTCCAATTAATTTGACTCAGAATTATGCAAAATTTGTAATGATTAAGTCTCAGTTGTTTTTAATTCATGCTATCACAAGAGGGGGCCAAGTCATGCAGAGCCTCAAGCAAGCCAATTCCTGACTTTACTATCCAGCTTCCTCTTCTGTGGGTGGGGACAGTGCAGCAGCCCTCTGAGGCCAGTGCAAGGAAGAATAACATAAGTCTCACAAAATACTTAGCACAGCATCTGCCACAACAATGGCATCCTAAAAAATAAACCATCAGGAGTTTGCAGGTCATTTGTTCTTTTCATTTGTTGACAAGACTCAACATTGTTGGTTCTGGAAAGTGGAATTTGGGGGGTTTGTTTTTGTTTTGTTTTACTATGGAAGAGAAGGCATTGGTATAAGCACTTGGGTTGGGATGATATGCATTCACCATTGCTGAAGGCTGATGTACAAAAAATGCTGAGAAAAACAGAAACAAAACATAGCATTGGATGGTAGATTTTGGTCAGTCTTTACTTCCCTGAAAAACTTATATTTTTATTTCTAATTGACACATAATTATATAAAGGGGTACAATGTGATATTTTGATATGCATATGCCTAATTTGTAATGATCAAGTCAGGATAATCAAGCATTTCTACCATACAAACAATTATTATTTCTTTGTGCTGGGAATAGTCGACATCCTTTTTTTCTAGTTATTTTGAAATATACAATAGATCATCATTGACAATGATCACCTTGCAAAGTTGTTTTGTAGTAGTGGTGGGGTATGGTTTATTGGTGAGTAACTGGGCTCACCATATAAAAAGCAAGTGAATTTCATTCAGCAGATAGGCCACAGTAGATAGAACAGCTGGGTATAGAATTGACGCTGGAGTGGAACCAAGCTTCATAAAGTTTAGTGTTCCTATGAAGCACCTGGGAGTCACTGAGGAGCAGACTCTCATTCAGCTGGTTGGCCTAGACACTGGGATTTCCTTAAGAACTCCAGGGTGATGCTGAGGTTACTGGTCATGGACCACACTCTGAGTAGCACCAGTATAGAAGCTTCCAGGGTGCCAAATGAAATTCAGAGTCCTCTCAGATGCAAATAAATTGTTTTTAAATTTCGCTCTCAGTTTACTCATCATTTACAGGTCATTTTTCCCACTTTCTCTTGATTTCTAAGGTAGCCAGTCATGTCACCATCTGTAAATAATTTCATTTCTTTGTTTTCTGTAGGCATATCTTATATTTTATATGGCATTAAGTAATAAAAAAATCTTTTTCCAGATTCTATTGCAATGGCTTCTAGTGTCAAACCATATTCTGATTTATTCTTTAGAAACTGGACTTTGGGGGCTGGAGAGATGGCTCAGCAGTTAAGAATAATGACTGCTCTTGCAGAAGACTGGGGTTCAGCTCCCAGCACCTACAGGACAGCTCACAACCAGTTGTTAAGTCCAGTTCCAGGAGATCAAAACTCTAGTTCCAGGAGATCAGATGTCTGCTTCTGGTCTCCACTGGGATTGCACAGCACAGGTGGCACTTACATGCAGGCAGAACACTCATACACATAAAATGAAAATCAAAAATCAAAAAGAGGTAACGGCTCTGATCTCAGCAGACTGCCAGAGAGTGCTGAGTTCTGGCCTCCCTGACAGAGGGCCTGAGAACACAGAGGGCTGCCTGAGAGCCTCCGATCCTGCCTCCACATGGTGGTGAGCTTCCCTTAATGGCACCATACCCATCCCCCTACCTGGGATTTCGTGAGGCCACTCCCAAAACCCCAGGGCAGATCTGGCTTTGGTAGTCTAAGGCAGAGATCCTAGCAGACAGCCTGAGAGGGTGGATTTCAACCTCCATTGGTGTAGTGGCTCTGATCTCAGCAGACTGCAGGAAAATGCCTAGTTCTGGCCTCCCTCTGACATAGGGGCAGAGAACACAAGGGACTGCCTGAGAGTGCCCGGATCCTGCCTCCACGTGGTGAAGGAAGCCTGAGTGTACCTGACTGGAACCTGAATTGGGCTTCTGTAGATACTCCTGAATAGCTGATCTGAAGCCATCAGTTCCCTCCAAGTTAAACCTGAGAGAACCTGAACCCTGTACCAACCAGCTTTACATAACCAATACTTTTCCTTTACATCTCCTATTCATGATCCAAGGACTTTCTTTTCTCCTTAGAGATAAGAATTATGCAATTTGTGAGTTTTTAAGATAGATCCACTGAAGGGGTACTCCAATTGCCTCACCCTGCATCTCTGTTCAACATGGAAGAAGCCAGAGCGGTCTGCCTCCCAATTCCCTGTTCTCAATTTAAATAACCCCTTCAGATGATGGCATGATAAGAATAAGTGGTAGGATTGGCTAGGCAGTTAGGGTAAAAAGACCGCAAAGAAAAGTAGCCAGTTTCTTGGCTAAAAGTCAAAATGTCCTTGGGACTGTTAGCAAATACTCTGTTCCAAAGGCAAAAAATGACAAAAGGATTTGGATACTTGTATCTAATCCCTAAAATATTTTAGGGTTACCTCTTGGGAGGAGGGAATGTTAGAGTACCCAAAAAGATTATGGAAAATTTTTAAAAAAACAGGAGGGGCTGGAGAGATGGCTCAGTGGCTAAGAACACTGACTGCTCTTACAGAGGACTCAGGTTCAATTCCCAGCATCCACATGGAGGCTATGAACCATCCTTAACTCCAGCTCCAGGGGAATCTGAAGCTCTCTTCTGACCTCTGTGCATTGCATGACACAGGTGCACTCACATACATGCAGGTAATATACTCATACATATAAAAGAAAAAAAATAAATAAAAAATAAATATTAAGAAAATATAAAAAACAAACAAACGAACAAAAACCCCACAGGAATGGAATATGCAAGAGATGTGGGACACCATGAAAGACCAAATCTAAGGATCATAGGAATTGAGGAAGGAGAAGAATTTCAGGTTAATAATATTGACCAGATCTTAAACAGGATTGTAGAAGAGTTTTTCCCAAAATTAAGGAAAGACAACCTATAAAAATACAGGAAGCACATAGAACACCAAATAGACAGGATAAGAAAAGAAACTCCCCACAACATATCATAGTAAAAACACTAAGTGTACAGAACAAAGAGAGAATACTGAAAGCAGCAAAAGAAAAACAAGTCACATACAAAGGAAAGCCCATCAGAATTACAGCTGACCTATCAATGCAAACTATGAAAGCCAGAAGAGCCTGGACCAAGGTATTTCCAGTTCTACATGACAATAGATGCCAGCCCAGAATACTTTACCCAGCAAAAATGTCTACTATAGTTGAGGGGGAAAGAAAAATCTTCCATGACATGAATAGCCTGAAAGAATACATGTTCATAAAACCAGCCCTTCAAAGAATACTTGAAGCAATACAGAGAGCGGAGAGAGAAACAACTATATCCCAGGGGCAACAAAAGAAAATAAAAAAAAAAGGTATAATAGAGGAAACAGAAAATTAAACAGAGAACACAAACAGCAATCAAAATGATGGCAACCAATATACATCTTCCAGTAATAACATTAAATACCAATGGACTGAACTCCCGAGTCAAAAGACACAGGTTAAGTGATCGGATTAAGAAACAAAATCCATCTCTTTGCTGTCTGCAAGAAACCATCTTGTTTTCAAGGACAGGCACTACCTTAAGGAAAAGGATAGAAAAGAATATTCCAAGAAAATGGCACTAAGAAACAAGCAGGTGTTGCAATTCTAATATCTGACAAAATAGACTTCAAAGTAGAACTAATCAGAAGAGATAAGGAGGGTCACTTCATTCTGATCAAA